GTTGGCGGCGTCATTGGCCTCATCTTCGCTTACATCTGCTACAGACAGCACTACCCTCCTCTGGCCAACACAGCTTGTCACAAGCCGTACGTCAGCCTCCGCGTCCCCACCTCGCTGAAGAAGGAAGAGAGGCCCACGGCAGACAGTGCAGCCAACATGCCCCTGGAAGGCATCACGGAAGGCCCTGTATGACTCGTGTCGTGGGAACATGGACACTTAGCCCTGGGTACTTCTTGCCACCATAACACCATAGAGAGGGGTTCTGTAGAGTGTTTCTTCTCATCACTTGTTCCTCAAAGTTACCTTTCTGCTTCCATTTTTGCCAACAGTGTTCCTGCTACTTTAAACGTCTCCTTTCACCTTTCTTGCGTTTGTGAGGGAAGCACACCAGGAACCATCTCTGGGAGCCCGTGGAAGGGGCTGCAAGTGCGGGGTGGGGCCGCCGGGCCAGCTCCTCTGTAATGTTTGCTGTACCAGCCACCTGCCTATATTTTTGTGGTTGTAAATCATAATAAAATCTCCCACCTGGAAGACTTGGTGTTGGCCATCCAGTGCAACCAAAAGTGGTCTGAGGACGTCACAGGTGAGGCAGGTGTGGCAAGCCAGCTGAGAACTAGCTCTGTCTGTTGGTCACACCACCACATGCTGGATTTAGGAGCCAAGGATCGGGTCCTTTCTGAATTGTGAGCTTCTCTAGCATGTGACTCTCACACAGAGTTGAAAGTGGGAGTTGGAGCCTTCGCAGGGCCCTGTGATGCATTGATTCTAGAAGGACTTGAACTGAGTAACTTCATGCACAGATGCCACCAAATATTGTGCAGCTAGAGACGTGTGAGTGCAGGTGAGGGGAGAAGGCACCGCTAGCTGCCCTGAGCCCACACTTCTGCTTCAGCCTGAGGGCCGTGTCTGTGCTCATCCTCTGACCAGTCAACAGCCCATTACAGTCCAGTTGTTTGCAGTACATAGCAGCCCTGTAGGAAAGAGCACACCTGCTGTGTAGGATTTCGGAGAAGTCGCTCTAGGTGCAGCTGCCATGGTTTTCTCCAGGGCACAGCTGGTGGAGCCAAACAGCTAACCTTCACTTTGCAACTCAGCATTTAACTCACTGCACCACTGCAGCTCCTTCAACCTCTTCTAAAAACCAACCAAGCTCAGTGCCATCAAGCCCAACCTGACACATGGCTCTCTGCTAAGGTTTCCCAGCCTATATATATATTTAACAGAGACTGCATCTTTAATTTGATTCTTTCTTTCAAACAAAAAAATAACAAAGTGCAAATAACAAAACTACATAAAACCAAAATTAAGTGATAATAATGAACATTTTTTGTTTCTCAGACCAGCCTATGAATCTTAATGGGAGCAGAATGCCACATTTTCCTCTCCCAGAGTTGCTCGTGGATTCAAACAGCCAGCCTTTCACTTAGCAGGCTGATGTGTAAGACACTCCACTGCCAGAGCTCCTTGAATACTGTACCTCCTCTTTTTGACCCTTTTTCCTGAGATGATGACTGATCTTACAGGCTGGGAAGCCAGTGCCTTGGGGTCTAACTCAAGGAGAATGGGGATAGGAAAGCTTTGACTTAACACTCTGTCCAAATCAAACCATGTTCAAAATTATAGCCCTCCAACCAGCAAGCAACTTTGAAAACAAACATACATTACTAGCTGCCTGACGTAAGGTCCAGTGAAACAGCTTCAAGTAAGAGCTTATCTCCTGTTGGAGCCAGTCTTGCCGACCTTGCTTTGCCTGAGGGTCCTCTGCTGGTGGCCCACATCCCATTCTTGACTTGTAGGAAATGTTCCAGTGTGATCGATTGTAATTAAAGATACACGAAAAGCACATTTTGACTGTAGCTTAGTTTTTGACAGTGTTTAATGTGACCAGGCGATACACTTCCCATTGTCTAGGTCTGAGGCCCACTTCTCCTTGACCAACTCCTTTTCAAAGCGGCACACCCCCCTCCTGTTCAGAACAGCTGCTCCACACAGCTCTCCAGATTCCCAGGCTTGCTGTGAAGTGATGTATCTTTGATGTCCAAACTAATGTCACTTTCTAGCAGTTAACATAACAGACTACATTTTGAAAGACTCTAGTGGCCTTGTAAATCATCTGTTGAACAGCTCAGGCCTGGACGTGCCTGTTAGTACTATCTGGATAACTTTGATCAGCTCTCTGTCCTGTGGGCAGAGTCCCGGGGTGGGGGAGCGTGCCCCACTCCATGCATACCCTGTTTAAGAACCCTAGGGCAGTCCTCTGCAGCTGTCATTCTTCCAACAAGCTGCTTCAGGCACAGAGCTGAGGGGTGATCATCCTGAGGGCTTGGTAGAGAGCAGAAAGCACGAGTTGACTTTTGTCCAAACCAGGCCTCCTCTGATTTCTTCTCAGTTACAGCGGGCACATTAGCAAACAACTCTGAGATCAAAGAAGACCGACTTCAAAAGCTTGTTGCTATTGAGTTGATTAAATTCATGATGACCCCATGTATACAGAGTAGAACTAAGGCATCCAGTTTCACACTCACCAGGCCTTGGCTTTTGAATCTGCTAGCTGGTAGTTGAGTGCATATGTGTTTGCACCAGTCAGGGATTCAGCTTTAAAAGCTGCTGCTGTTGTTGTTGTTGTTATAAGCCACCACATTGGGCTGCAGCTATAATTTACAGTGAGCCTGTGAACAACGGCTCAGAATCTTGCCCTAGCTGAAGCATAGTCATTCTCACAACACAGTCTTCCAGCAGAATTTAAAGTTCATATGAATTTAGGATATTATACAATATTCTGGTTTGACTCAAAATGCTATCGTTACTTAAACTCCATGCTGAGAACCGAGAGTGAGGACCAGGTCACAGCTGACCCTCCATTGGGTTTCCAAGCTTGTGGACTGCTCAGGGGATGATTGCCCATCTTCCTCTTGGGAGCTGCTGGTGAACTTGAACTCCTGGAGAGGCTCTGCCTTTGAGTTAACAGTGTAACTCCCTAAGGACCATGCCAGTGGAGCTGTCTAAAAATGCTCTCATTTAAAAAAAAAATACAGACAGAGGATCTTTTGCTAAAGTTAAAAAATAATCTTGTGTAGTTCTTATATTTCTTCCATCCCAGTTTTACCCAAGCTGTGGAATAGCACGTGGCAAGAGAATCCCTGGGAGGTACAGACGATGACGTGCTCAACTACTAACTGAAAGATTTGTGGTTCAGTACCACCATGGGTGCCTCAGGAGAAAGGCCTGGTGATCAGCTTGGTCACCGTGAAGAAAATGTGGTGGAACCATTCCACTCAGACACACGTAGGGTCTCTATGAGCCCAAAGAGATTCAACTGCAACAGGTCTGGTGTGTTTAAGAAAGAGAAAAGATGGTGCTTCAGTTGATAAAAACTTAAAATTCTGGACCAGGAAAGGTAAATTCCATAAAAATGCTTGCACATAAAAACAAATGGCCAGAAAATACTGACCAGAGAAAAGAACAGAGTGTTGTTAATACTGATAATTAAACTGGAAGTCCAAAGACAGCCCATGCAAAAGATTTGACTAAAATGTGATTAAAATTGCAGGAGACATAACAACAGGAAGTTTATGGCAGTATCCTTAGGAGCTTAATTAACAGTGGAAGCTGGTTCGGGAAAGTGGGTGTTTTTGGTGGGTCTGTATATTTTCATTTCCTACTCTATTAAAAGGAAAGCAATGATAACAACATAATGGGCAGAAAAATGGCCATGGATGAAGGGATTTGCTCCACAGCCCCAGGTTCTTTTTGGAGGTGAGAGGTTACTAATTCAGACTCTTTGGCAAAGCTGGTTGCACGCCGCGCTGTGTAGGAATGAAGGGTGCAGAGGCTGGTGGTGGCTTCTGTGCAGGGCCATGTGGAATGGGCACGGCAAGGCCCTGGAGTAAAGGATGGAGCGTGGTGGGAAGGGAGGTTGCGGGGAGGCAACGTGCTTATCTTAGCTCTGCATGTTGGAGACTTGGGGAGCACACTTCTAGGGTGATGGGTTCCAGGAAATGGACCGCTGCCTGCCTTATTTACAAGAAATTTCCTTGCCAACTTGAGTGTCTTTAGTACATTACAGTAAGACCTAGAGGCCAACCTGCGAGCTGTGGTCTGCGAGACTTCTTTTCCCTTTGCTGGACCTACTCAGGGTCCACGTTAAAGATCAGAAAGTTAGCTTGTTAGATGTCTTCTAATCGGAACTGACTCCTAGTTGACCCTCCTCCTAGCAGGTTTTAGAGGCAGTAAATCACATGGGAGGAGACTGCCTATCTTTCTCCCATGGAGCAGCTAGTGGATTCGAACTGCATGACTTTGGATTGACAGTGCAGCTCCTTACCCACTAAGCCAGCAGAACTCCCTATGTTAGAGATGAGCAGTCACAAAATCCAGTACCTGGAGGGAGCAGGAGCAGAATGTGGTGAAGGAGGCGGGCCAGGGACAGTGCTAATGGGGGGGGCGGGTTAAAGAACTGAAGAGAACATAGCCATCAGGACAGTCCTGAGCCTGTTAAACGCCAAAGTACTGCTGCCAGGGAAGAAGGCAAGCACAGTGCTTCAGCAAGCAAGCCTGTGTAATCTGCATACTAAATGGTATTGATTCTTGCTGTCCTGATGCCACATTCTTCTTCATAAAGACACGTCTCTCAAACGATCTGTTCAGCATACAGAGTGAAAAAGTATGGGGAAGGACATATCCCTGATGCATTCCTATTGTTAAAGAAATTAAAAAACAAACAAAAATAAACCCTACCTTTTTTTTTTTTTTTTTTACTTTGGCATCTGTGTCCATTGAAAGGCCTTAGGATGCTGGTTAGCGAACACCCAAAGACAGCAGGTTAGCCAGCCGGAGCTCGTGAATATTATCTGAAACTCAGTGCAGGTGAGGCAGTTCCCATCTTACAGTGATGTTCCATCAGGCTTTCAGGGCTGTAAATATTAACTGGAGGAGACTGTGCATCTTTCTGGGGAGCCCCAGGAGATGCTCTACAGCACACAGCAGGCTGTGCCACCAGCGCTCCCGTTGGTACTCTGGGTATACCGTAGTATAGAGACGGGAAGAGTGAGTCTCAATGGCATCCATGTGACAGTCTCTCTGTAGCTCAGTCTGCTTGGGGAAGGGATGGGAGAATGGCTTGAATTGACAACCATCAACATCTGTAATAGAACATCATTTAATTAAAAGAGAAAGGAAAATGTCATTACCTGTGATAAAAACTGTCAAATAAAACCATACGCCAAGCTGT